ATAACTTTTAGGTTTGTGTAGATTGTAAAAACATACATACACACTTTTAATAAAACATGAATTTGTATAATGACCATAGCAATTGCCATATTAAGTTTGTTGTATACGTGAGTGTATGTGTTTTTGTGTATATATATATATATTTATATGTGTGTGCTTAATATGTATATAAGTGGTCTTAGTTGCATTCATTCGTGTTTACATTGAATTGTCGACAACGAATGAAGCGACATTTTAAAGTTCGAGTTGGTATGAATGAGTGTGTGCGTGCATGCGTGTGTGTTCGTGTGCGTGTGTATTCATTTTGTTTGGTTTAACTTTGCGAATGGACATGCTCACATAGTTTATGGATATTGCGTGCTTTTACATGCTAAGGATTGTCACCCATGACAACATAAACTATCATAACCAGTCAGGCTAAGCCTAAGGTAACAGAATGAGAGGTGAAGAGAATAAGGTGACCGCACCTAAGAAAACAGTGTAAGCTTTATATCTTTATATATATATATATATATATATATATAGTTGCATATATAGCATGTGTGTGTTTATAAAGTTTCAAGCAACACGAAAGGACACCCACTTTCGGGCTGTCAACCAAGCTGTCATTTCTTTAACAAAGTGAAAAGAAAAAACGTAGACCGCAAAATTTTATATGATTTTCATTTTTCAAGTTTTGTCGGTCGATGTCATATTCATATGACACGGGTCGGCCGAGCGAAGCAACATTATTTCAATGCATCTAAGTATGTGTCAGCGCAACCATAATATGTTTAAATATTAACTATTATATGCATTATTAAAAGCCAACCAAAGCAATATATGCCTTATCCGACTGATTATTCAAACTTGAACTATAAATGATAAAAGATGATGCCTTCCATCATAAAAAAGAAAAAAACCAAAAATCAAATGTCAAAGTATTTTATTTATATGCATGACAACCCCGTACTTGCTTGTTGTAGACCTATTATCCCATTTTATGAATTACCATAAAAGCAATGGGCGGAGCTTTGTTTAGGCAAAAAGAATTTATTTATTATTCCTTCACTTCCTACTTAGCTGTCATTCGAGAATGATTACATACAATGAATATTTACATACAGTGATAAACTGAAATTGAAATGAATAAAATCCGTAACATGAAATCCTTATTATTATTATTATTATTACTTTAAATAATTTATCTCATAAGCAAATGACCCTTTTCTTGCTTAGCCTTATAAATTATTTATTATCAAGATATTCCTACGCTAGTCCTATGCTTCAACCTTTCCTGATTAGTTGATATTTTTCATACCTATTCCTTAGAGGGCAAAAAAGTAGCTTCAATTATCAATAATACATCAATGCTACCTATACCTATATTTACATTACTACATGCTACAACTGCTAAAGTATTATTTATTGTTTTGCTACGTTGACCGTATGATATGCAATAAATTAACATATCAATCTTACAAACTAATGCGGAAACTGAACACTGAAAGTGGATGTTCATAGAAAAGTATTTTTTTTTTTTTGTTTTTTTTGTTTTCTACAACAGAAAAAGGGTAAGATACAGTTCAGATATAGAATTAAGATTTCAATCAACTATGAAAATGAGAGATGTCGTTTTCCTGTCCCATTAAAGGCTTTAATACTGTGTTACCATATCATCTCTCTTCTTAGCCTCTTCAAAGTAGCGTACATGAGCATAAGTTGAAGTTGGGAATTTTTAAATTCGATTTCAAATCAGATTAGGGTTAAGAAGCGTAGTTATTAAGTCGACTTACCCCGGCTTACAATTCTCAGTGTCACAGATCATACTTTAGTTATGATTCGTTTGCGATCGTAGCCATAGAGTGAGTGCTCGGTTGGTACAGGCTTAACAGTTAACAGGCGATCCGTCTCGCATATCCAAAGGTGCGTTCATTCCTCTATCCATCTTCCGTCATCCTATTCTTTTTCTCTCCCCCACTCCTTTCCAATCATCAACGTACAGTGGGGTGTATCATCACCTCTGAGCGATGATACATTTGTGTGTTTGTGTTTTTTATTGGTCGAGCGTATTCTTTTCTTTCATTTTCCTCCTATTATTCAAGTTACCACTCCTCGGTCCCACAAGGGCTTTGAAATAAGTGTATATGCGAAAATTTGCCACTAATTAATGCAAAGTATTCGACTAAAAGGTAATAATTTTTTTTGAGATAAATTCAAACAATCAGTAGCCGGTATAAGCACTAAGGTGTTTAACGACAACTCCGTTTTTTGTTGGCATCGTGGAAATTGATCATTACATCTCTCCGTTGCGATATTATGCCCTACGTTTTAAATATTTCGCTATAATTTTGATTGCTATAGGAAACATGACGCTTTAGTGTTCTCCAAACTTCCTCAATAGGATTGAGGCCAGGAGAGTGACAGATCGTACAAGTACAAGAGTAGTACAGTTTTCACTTCTTTTATCCTTAAAGGAGCTGATCCACGTGTGAAAAATTCCCCTTCATTTTCTCTCTATTCTCTTACTGGTACTGAATTTATATCCCTTTGAATTGGCCTTCATTCACCTTAAAAGTTGGAAAACGATTACTTACTCAAGTTCCACTGATTTGAAAATTCTTTAGCTTTTAACATGGGTCCTCATCGGGTAACGCCACCAATTTTTCATGCTCATACGTTTTTGAGCGTCTTTCGATTTTCATTGGCACAAAAAAAAAAAAAAAAAAAAAATCCAAAAATTTTTATTCGCTTAAAAAAAAAAAAAAAACGGAAAAAGAACTAAAATTTTCATATTCTATAATATTGGATGGGCGCGGTTGATTGTTTCTATTTTTAGAATAGATAGCGAAATTTATATGGTCCATGGGTTTTACTGTATGAGTAAGAAGCACAAAACACGAAAAGCGATTGTGTTCACAGTAACTGTATTGTGAACGCCCACGCAATCACGTAGGTGTGGACGTTGTAGATGTGTTCGTTAAAAAGTTTGGGTCATTTTCAAATTCTTTCGCAAGTTTGTGCAAGAGACTGCCTACCATAGATACTGTACAGTTGCGCAGGCAGACAGATGGACAGTTGAATGGACGGACATTAGGTTAGGTTGATTTCTAATTTGACACTGGCCAAGAGTTAAAATATTTTATGGATTTTTTGAACCCTATTTCCGTGCACTATAACAGTATTGAAAATAAAATGAAATTATGACACACTTTAAAATTCAGTAGGTGTGGCCGGTTTTTTATTTTTGAAGAGAGACTACAGCATTGCCTATAGAATGGACGGTCAAGTTTTACTAAATCTACCTGTTGTAGTTCATTTGTAATGAGCAAAAAACCTTTTTTTTTCGTTTCCTTTTCTCACTTTACGTAATGCTGTGGATGTATACTTGGACCAATTTGGTTAATTTGCAATACCAACCTCCGTGCCAACTTCCAATGTTTGCACTAAATTTAAAGTATAGACTTATAGCTTTATTTTTAACGCCGGGAGAAGCTTCACAACAAATATATGTACGCAGACGGACGGACGGATATCGTTAAATTGATTCAGGATTTGATGCCGCAAATGTTGTGAACGTTTTCACAAAATGAATATGCCTCTCATTCTTCGTTGATGCCCTGCTACTGCAAATAATCTGAACAATTGATAAACGAAAATTTTGATCTAAAAGACGGCAACGTCACTTTAAGATCTTCCTATCAATAAGATTGAATTCCGGGGAATCGACGACTTGATGAATTTCAGAATTAACTCTACAACAAAATTAACTCGCAACAAAATTCCATCCATTGGAAGGACGAATCACTAATTTCACAGACTATTGGTGTTTAGTATAAAATCGCTTAGTAGGTTAATTTTGAAAAATTTATTAGATGATTGAGATAATTAATTGGACATGCAGTAGTTGCTTTAAATACTTCTGACCGTTAATAAATTTTTTTTCACTTTTCTACGTCAACTCTTTGCAAAGTAGATTTTTATTCGATTGAAAAAAAAAAAAAAATAAATTTTCATTGTGCATTGTGTATGCGTCGGTAATTAATTAAGCATAAAAACCGTAAACTTGAATGTTTGATGATGTGTTCCTCGCATATATATGTAATAAGTTAACAAGCTATCTTAGAATGTCGATCGTTTCTTTCAATGCAAATATCAAAACAAAAAAAAAACAAAAAATGTATTATTCTCCCATAAGAAAAAACAAACATAAATAAACAAATAAATAAAAAAAAAATAAAAATATAAAAAAAAAAAAGATTTGCATTAAGATCATTAGTATGTATGAATACGGATGACAACTCAATTAAAATTGACGATGTATTACAAGCATACATGCAATGCATTTACATATATAAACAAGTGTACTTTTGAAATCGTAGAAATTAATGCATACAACTGAGCGCAGCACCACATTCTTAATATAATGAAAAAGACGGGGAGAGAAAAATCTTCGCATGCAATTGATATAAAACCACCCAGAATGTGTGTGTGTGTGCAGTAGAAAGAGTTAATAAAACGTTAACTTATAGCGGGCACAACAACAAAAATAATAAAAATAACAAAAACAACAACGACACTATCAGGTATGACTGACTGACTGACTGTATGAGAATGTTTGTTTCTCTACATTCATGCACGTATCATATACGTATGTGCGCATATAGAGTAAATATGATATATAAAATGGTGTAGTATAGTTATCACTTACGTGTTAGGGGGGCAAGTATTAGTATGTGTCAGACAGTGTGTGTGGTTGGTTGTAAACGTTTTTTGAATATGCGGTAAATGATTTTCATATTACGTAATTTTTTTTTTTTTTTTTTTTTTTTGCTTTTCATTGAGTTTTGGCGCGAGAGATGTGTTCCTGCGCGTATGTATCATTGCCGGAAGGCAATATTAGCGCCTGGTTTGCAAACGCGCATACACACAAACACTTACACATGCACACATGCATTTAAAGTTGAAGTTTTTTCGGCCCAACAATAATCACGACAGTCAACACAACAACAGTCAACTCTCTAACTGCATACGGAAAACTCCTCAATGATGATAATGCATAGTTGTTTTGGGCCATTTGTGGTGGCAGCGCGTATAGGCTGAATATCAATATCTTGAGCGAGTAGAGTATTTTGGGCAACGTGCAAAAGTAACAGCGTACCATCGCACTAACAATTTCCAAGACAGAATATGAGAAAAAAAATACAAATATAAATAAATAAAAAAAAAAAGCAGCAACAGCGCGAAAAGAAAAATTAAAACATTTTGAGGTGCTCATGCATGCGCTCATAAGCTTACTCTTATGCTTTGGGCAAGAACAACGAGTAATTGAGCTGCGTTTACACTTTGACGCACAAAAAACATTCGCACATACCGCCGTAGCCAACTCGCCGATGGTGGTGGTTGACTGTATAATGGTATTGGTTTGTTGTTGGTGGTTGTGTTCAATGCATAACATTAATTATTTATGAAGTATTAGTGTAATTATTCAATTTGCAAACGGTTGGCGCTTTAAACTCTCAGTTCAGCTTCAATACATTTGCATCAGTTGTACGTACTTGTTTTGAACATAACAAGGCCGCCGTGAACAGAAACAGAAAAGCACAATAAAAGGCAAAAGGCACACATAAACAGTTTTCTTAGTTGTGCGTGAGCATGCGTATGTTTTTGCCGCTGTTTATATGGTTGTTGCAGCATCACACTATCATACTTGAAAAACACCAGAAGCTAATAAAGCTTCATGTAAATCATGACTCAAAACCAAAACTTATATAACTATATATATATATATATACATAATATATGTATATATGTATATATATACATAATATATGTATATATATATATATATATTAAATAAGTCATCATCGTCGTCATCGTCAACATCAGCTACACATCAGCTCATCGTCAACTAATCAAAGCGGCAGCAATGCCGCAGTATCTTTGGCAACATCATCAACAGGTTGTATGTTTGTATTTCTAATTTGTATGTAAATGCAATATGTCCGTCTATGCGACGCCTATATTTTGTGCGAGAATCGTCGTAATAATAATATAATAAAATAGTTGCAGCAATTTATTTATTTTTTTTTTTTTGTTCTTTCAAATTCATAAAAATTAAGTTAATATTAATGAAAATATGTGAAAATGTATGTGATTGAAAGGAATGATTCGATTAAACAATTTTACCTGATGCACAATGATGTTTACTTATCAGAGAAATAATAATGAGTAGCATTCCGCGATACTTGGAAACCTTTTAGCAATATTTGATTGGTTTCAGTTAGGACAGAATGCTTTGCGAGCGGCATCATCACTACACGATATCGAGTCTTGCTAACTAAATCTAAATCTTTCTCGCCGTCAAAGATATAATCTCTTAAGTATTATAGTAAAGCTAGTGAAAGAAAAAAATTTATCCCTTAGTGGGGCACAGTTTGGCATTTTTGCTATAAAAAGCGAGAATTGCCCCGAGTTTTTGACGTTTCCTTAAATACAAGTCGTTCTAAGCAATGTCAGTAGCGGCTCAGTTTGAAAATTTATGAATTCAGAAAGAAATTGGCATTGACAGTTATAGGTTTCAATATAGTATATATATATAGTTGGCTTAACTTGAGTGCGAGTGTGTGTGCGTGTGTAACTTTTAAATTTAAAGCAAAGTAAACAATGGCTTTTCTTTTAAAAGCTGTAACGTGAACAGGTTAGACAATATTAGCAATCAAAAGATGAAGTAATACAGCCTTCTACCCTTCTTCCACTTACGTTTCGCATTAAGGCATTGAAGGCCAGTATCCACTTATGTAATACAATATTTTTAATTGCAGTCATGATGTCGACGTAATAATTAATTCGTAAAGTCAGTTCTTTACTACGGTTGGTACGATCACTATCATTCTTGCTACTACTACTAGTATTGCTGTCATTGCTGCTATTGGTACGACTACCATTATATGTAGCATGATTAATACTACTGCCTTTCCTACTATAACAGTCATTATTGTTACTTGTACTATTGGTATTACTTTCGCTATTGTTACTATTGCTACCAGTGTTACTATTATTGCTATTATTGATAAAATTGCCACTATTGTTAACATGGTTACGAGTACTTCTAATATTCCTAATATTGCTACAATGGCTACTATTGCTGCTATTCCTATTATATCTTATAATGCTGCTAATGCTACTATTTCTTCTATTCCCAATATTGATACTATTTTTGCTATTCCTAATACTTTTAGTATTTCTGTTATTGCTACCCTTTTGCTATTATTTTTATAATTGCTATTATTGCTACCATTGCTAAGATTGTTGCTATTGCCAGCATGGTTACGAGTACTTCTAATATTCCTAATATTGCTACAATGGCTACTATTGCTGCTATTCCTATTATTTTTAGTCCTGCTGCTAATGCTACTATTTCTTCTATTCTCAATATTGATACTATTTTTGCTATTCCTAATACTTTTAGTATTTTTGCTATTGCTACCCTTTTGCTATTATTTTTATAATTGCTATTATTGCTACCATTGCTAAGATTATTGCTATTACCAGCATGGTTACGAGTACTTCTAATATTCCTAATATTGCTACAATGGCTACTATTGCTGCTATTCCTATTATTTTTAGTCCTGCTGCTAATGCTACTATTTCTTCTATTCTCAATATTGATACTATTTTTACTATTTCTACTATTTTTATTATTTCTGTTGTTGTCACTCTTTTGCTATTATTTTTACTATTGCTAGTATTGCTATTACTGATATTACTGTTGTGAGTTCTTTTATTGCTACCAATGCTATTAATACTGCAATTACTGCCATTTTTGCTAGTACTACTACCGGTGTAGAATTTTCAGTACGACCACTTAGAACTACTCAATCATGCCTCAAATAAAACTTTCTAATTTACTTCGCGGTATAATTCTTAACTAAGTATAATAGAAGAGATCAAAGAGTGGTGAATGATGATTTTAGAAAAGCTTTCAATTAATAGCTTGCGTATAGTCAATAAAGATTTGTGTTTAGATTTAGCCGTTTATTAAATTTAAAACATTTATGATTAACAACAAACATTTACTAGCAAACAAGTAGTAGGTGGACATTAGGCATGCATTGCATTAGGTTGAGATGGGAAACGTACCTACCGCATGCTGCGAGTTCATATGAAACGGTTTAGCAGTTGCTAAACGTGTTGAACTTAATTAAAAACATATTAAAGCACACATGTAAGACATAGGCAACAATAATGTTTCTTGATGATTTAACAAGAGTTGATTAATTGAAATTTTAAATTATTTATTTATTTATATTTTTCGCAACTAATTGTTGGGCATTTTGTGAGCAACAAGTGTACTCACTTTCCTGCTAATTCAATATGTTATAAAACGCAGTGATGGCATCTTATTAAAAATTTATGTTTAATAGAAAGGTGTTTTTTTTTTCTGTTTTTTTTTTTTTTTTTGTTTTTTGTTTTCTTTCAACCATTTGCTTTCATAATGTTCATGACTACGCACCGTATAGATGAGATGAGATGAGTTGAAATGAGATGAGATGTTTTGATGTTTATTTCCACCCAAACAGTTTTTCGGAAATTATTATTTGCTTGAAATTCTCAATCATGAAGAAGCAATGAACCGTTCGACATGGTAATCTCAAAGGAAACATATGTAAGTCAGCAAAATGTCAGTAATGCTCCGGCTGGCAAAGGTTCGCATAAAAAAAAAAAAAGGAAGAAAGAAGGAAAAGCCGTTAACATAACCGAAAAAACTCATGTGATGGACTCTTAAGCATTCTTCGAAAACTGATAAGAAGATTTCACGAGAACAAGGGTAGAAAAGTTTTAAAATAGATTTCCTTACCATTTTCATTTTCATTCTTTTTCGCATTTTTCTTTTTATCTTTCTCGAATATGTAAAAACTTGGATGATAGTTTTGATGGGTTGGTTGCCTTTGTTATACATTGTATTGATTGTGTAACGCTTGTCAAGGTAAATTTATTTTTTCCACAAGTTTAAATTCCTTTTCGTGTAGGTTTTCCTTTTTGTTTATGACATTCTCGGCTTAACGCTTTACCACCCGCTGCATACAAGTCCTTGGCTTTGCTTTCGCTTCGTTGAAGAAACAAAAAAAAAAAAAAAAAAAAAAGAGTTGAAAAAATTCTTAAGCATAAAATTTAGTTTGTAAAGATGACTTCAAGTGTGACTTTTGTTGTTGTTGTTGTGCGGTTATTTTGTTGCTTTGTTAAATGTTGCGAAAATGTTTGTCCTGTCTTTCTTGTAAAAATGGGACTTTATCTTTACTTTTGATTAATGAATTACTAATAAATGCTGAAATACTTAGCTATTTATCACTGTGATGGTTGCAGAGACGGGAGGGAACCTTTAACAAAACTCTTTCAAGACTTGAATTTTTTTTTTAAATTTTTGTAAAATCTATGCAAACTTTTTTTTTTAATGTTTAGGTATTATTTTACTGATCGCGTGTAAATATTAGTTTGGATGATAGCATTCCGAAAAATGATGATCAAAAATCGCAAGAAATATGAACTAAATCGCTTTAGTTGTGGAAATCTAATAAAGTAGCGTTGAAGTGCAGAAGAAAGGCTTATCTGAATAGTAAAAATAAAAATTGAACAAGTAAAAAACATTATAGTTGACCACGGCTCACCATTAAACATCGTACCCTACTCTACAATTATTTATATAATAACTTTTCAAAATAAAACGTTATATGGGTATAGTGGTCGCAAAATTAAATCAATCCGAATTATTTTTAGTAGCATTTATCCTTAGCTCAAGACACGTTCATATATATCAAATTTGATCAAATTATGTCAAAAATTGCGGCCTATAGGTATGCAAACATACAAAAACAAGACCGACATATAGACAGACAAGCTTCGGTATAGGAAAAGATCGATCTACCTCAAGTGTTTTTGGGTTATGCATACATCTGCGCAAACTTAATATGCTGTTGTACCATAAATGGTGTAGGGTATAAAAATGTATCATCTTTGCGCATAGTTCATTAATGAAATTTATGCGCTTTGACTTGCAGTTGAACGCTGATCTAATTGCAGAGTATGATGCACATCTTTTCCTTTAGTTTAAGAATAAAAATAAGTAATTTGCTTTAAAGTGAGTCGAAGCAACGAATGAGTCAACATGTTCCAAGACTGAGCCGTAGATATCGTGTCGAAGAAAAATTCCGGAAAAGCATACCACGATGTGACCAAGAAGCTAGATTTGGGTACTGATATTGTGGTTTGATCTCCAGAAAGTAATTGCTTTGCAACACTTTACGCCGTCATACAATTTTAAGACACCCAGTGGCCCGCAAGTACGGTCACACTAAAGAAAACACTCCAAACTTGTAGTTCGTAGAGGATAACAATTTAAAAACTGGGAACAAAGGCCAATGTAGAACTTATCTCAATTGATCCAAGGTCCAAGTTTACCAAATTATTTTGTATTATTCGAGTGCGTTGACTTGAGACGATGGCTATCATGAATTATCGCGAAGACGAATGTAATTTTCCTACTTGCCTTAAATCGGTTCGCAAGCATTCAAATTGAAAATATTTAGATTAGTGTAACGAGAGAGAGAGAGAGAGAGAGAGAGAGGAGAACGTGCGTTTAATCTTTTTTAGGTAAAATAAGTTTTTTCCTTTTTCTTAATTTCCTTATTCAACTGAAGCTAAATGAAACGAAGCCATCTAAAATGAATAATAAAACAATTTCATGTTTGATTTTATTTATATTTGCAGGTGCATTAAATAAATTTTTGTTGTTGTTGTTGTTGTTTTTTAACTCTTCTTTCTTTGTTTTGATTTCAATTTTGACAAATTTCCGGTATTTTGTTTTTTCATTGTTATATGCATCTATGCATATGTATGTATATAAATATTTTTTTTGAGGGTAAAACAAATCTTCAGTCATTTTTCAACTTCTCATATAAAAATTTTAACATAATTGTCTATCGAGCCAAAAGCAAAATGTTTTCAGTTCATAAAGCTCACAGTTAACCTGCAAAAAGAATAAAAAGAATAAAAAAAATAAAATAAATATATAATTTTTTAAAGTTTTAAAGATACACAAACATAAATGCATATCTGCATTATATGCACAACATAGGCCATAGGAATAAGAATATTTCAACAGTTAACCGTAAGAAAAGATAATCTTAAACCAATCGCCAAACGAAAGGAATGCTAAAAAATTAAAACACCCCATGGTGTTTAAAACATTGGCGCCTTAGGCTTTATACATACAATTCTCTGCGAATTCTTTCTCTCTCTGCTCAAAGATAAAAGGACGTTGTGGCCATACGATATGAGGGCACTGCGTGAAATGTAATCACTTTTTCTTCTCGTCGTATTATATATAGAAGGAACTCTTCCATATGCACTTCACCGCTCCCGGCCTATTCAAACGGTACACGCACAATACGGTTTTGTTCCGTTTTATGTATAAAGTAGTGAGTGATATTGTTGCGTTTTGCGCTGATGATTGTAGCGAACGGTGGTGGTAGTGGTATCTTACAGTTTAAATGAACCTGACGACAGCATGTACATAAATGATCAATGCCCAACATTTGTTTATGGAGACTCAATTATAAATTAAAGTTCACAACAAGAGACACAAGAGAAAAAAAAAAAGCAAAAAAAAAGCAAAAGAAAAAAAAAAAGCTACATATGTACGCGTTGAGACGAATCTTGGATATCCATCAACGAAATGGAGTATAAAAATTTCGAGGCGTTTCTCTCCTTCTTTTTTTTACCTTTTTTCTAGCAACTCCTTGCTTGCGCTTGCAGGTCAAAAATTTTCTATAGACTCAAATTGTTTTTCATTTATTTATTTATTTATTTTTTTTTTTTGGTTTTTTCTATTTTTTTTTATTAGTATTCTGAAAGAATCTGTGCAACAATACGGATAAGAGTCAATCTTTTAGTTCAAGATTCGGAGTCGGCAGAACATGGCATACATGGCTAAATTCATGTCGAATCTTAAGCTAGTTAAAGTTACATAAACAAATGCATTAAGTGTTATGTTCAAGTTAAAGTTAATATTTTATATATATATATATATATATATATATGCATATAGATATACATAGCTAAGTATAGGATTATCGTCAAGTCTTTCAAATATTTGTGGTAAAGTAAACGTAACAATAAAACTAATATACTCTTGATTTTTAGTGATAAGTATTAAAAAAAACCAGGTGAAGAAAAAATGTATAGAATTTATGGCAGAAGTTAATGCATTACATGGCATAAAAATGTACATGTACATCCATGTGTGTTTATTATTCACGTGTGCACCGAGATATTATCTGTGTCCTCCTTTTAATACTCACCAACAGAAGGTTTCATTATTCTAAAGTTCTCATATCGCTGGTAACGTTGGTGATAACTCAGACATATCCCATAAGATTCTACATCGTTTTATAGAGTTGTCGTTTCATGAGACCCCTCCCCCCCACCCGTCCATTTTTGTTTGCTTCTTTAGAGGTTACATCGTAACATTTCTATTAGCTTCTGAACGCTTGTATGGTTCAACAATGATGATAAAGTTTCAAGCTTTTTGGATGATGTGTGCAGCAATATTCGATATCAACTAAATATAATTTTTTTTTTCCTTTTTTCGATTATCGGATTAAATGCGACAAAATATTTTTGGGAAATAAATTTCATATAACATTTCAAAGGGAAGAGAAAACAGGGAAAATTTTAAAAACCCACTGCTGAGCGTTAAATGATCATTTTTAAAGCTAACAATAACCGAAGCCGATTAAAACCTATTTATCTTTTTCGTATCTTT